ATACGTGCTGTCGACTGCTGGTAAAGCTGATATTGGTGATGGGATCAGAGTTTTGCCGCACTCATAGCTATCTGACTTTCTAGGCGTACTGTGGGTGATAGGGCGCCCAATTGTTTTCGTGTGTTGGCCTTTTCAGGCCATCGCCATCCAAGAGGAGTCGCAGTAGCAGGGCACGGGCTTGGGCCAATAAGACTACGGCACATTCTTTAAGACTGACTGCCAGGAATATGCCAATATGAATTGCAATGGGCATCCAGAGGGAAAAACGCGTATCGTCGTTATCGCCGTGCAGTGAGTCAAAGAAAATCATTGTGGTCCCAACACAAAGCGAATGATATAAACAGGTTCTGTGCAGCCCTTCATTAGTTATGGCCTGAGGAGGGGTGTGTAGAAAGGACAAACATGAACATGAGAAACTCAGACTCCTTGGCGATCTCATAGGTCGATGACCAGACGAAGAGAATGAACAGAATGAACCACAGAAGATACGGGCTGGAAGGATATGCGTTAGTGGATGTATTTCTACATACAGCGTCGAACGCAGACTTACATCGCCACCGCGAGCAGCATATGATCGCCGTCTTTCCTAACTGTGCCAGCAATCTCAATGAGCGATGCCGAAATCATCGAAGTGATGTAAAGTCCTCTTGTCTGACTCAGCATTGTTGCAGCGTGCTCAGTGCTCTACTATTGGAGTACTTGTGCTTCAATTCGATATGGCTTTCTCAACCAAAGTGGGAAGTATGTTTGCAAGATATGACACAAAAGAGTCGTAAAATGGGAGTGTTGTAATTGTGGTAATGAAGCATGATAATTAGAAAGATGTTGTTTCCTTAATGATCACCCCTTTAAGTATAATCGATCATCAGGTATGTCAAGTTATGAAGCCAAGCCTCAGCGAGCGCATTCTTGGCTACTAGGTACCAATGCCAGCATGGCAATGTTGGGTATATGCTGGAACATGGCGGGAAGACCACCAAGACCACCCGACATGCATCAAATGACCTCAGAACTTCGAGGCCCCGCGATTGCGTTGCATCGCGGTGGACGCTAGGAATGCAGGCCAAAAATCATGTCTTTTTCAACACAGCCGTATCTAAGCCACATAGCTTGGCAGATGCGATCCGGCCAATCGGTAGGCTGGACATCGACATTTCAAAAGTGATCTCTACGTCCAGTCACGGATGCATTCAACACACGTCTGGTAATGGATGCAGCCAACAAGCGCCGCGCAACTGTCTATGCTGGACCATTGGCCAGGTACGCACAATTCAAGATCTTTAAGATTACATAAGGCCGGATGCCCCGCAATATTTCGTCGCTCGTGCCTGCTTCCCCAATTGATGGCTATGGCTCTTGTTGTTTTGGCGTACGAGAAAGAGCAATGGAGAGATTTGACCAACTAACTAGATCTCGTGATTGCACTTATTGGTGTCAATGTGAACATGATTTTACCGTGTGTCCTGTACTCTTAGAACAACGTTCCGCCTTTAGTGCTTATGAATATCCATGCATCCTCCCAGCTGCAGCCACATCATATACAACGAACGCAAGCCACAGTTGGTGGTATGTGTTGAAACCACGTTTAAAGCCTTGTATTGCGCCAAAATAAAAAAAAATACTCAAGAGTAACACATATTAGAGGAAAA